AGGAACACAAGACCTTCTGAAACCCAGATGAAATTCTTTCACATCCCAGTCGTGTGTTATGTGCCTTAAACACCTTCTTGTCCTTCATGTCTTCTCTTATTTCTGTAGCAAGGTTTATTCAAGACCACAGAAGTTCAAATAAGAAATTAGTCCAGAAATGTCTGTCTCTATCAGTGAGCTGACACCAGCTCCTTCAGTGACTTCTGTGATCAGTGAACCTGGATTCAGAGCAGCTTAGATGGACTTCTCCTTTTTGCCTTTAAAAGCTTCCTGTTACTGGGGCCGGAACTATAGAGTAGAAGGTTAAGCCTCTGCCTGCAGTGCCGACATCCTGTAAGGGCACAAGATCCAATCCCAGCAGCTCCACTTCTGATCCATCTCCCTGCTGAAATGCCTGTGGAAGCAGTAGAAGATGGCTTCTGGCTTCTGGCTTTGGCCTGGCCGAGCCCTGGCTGAAGCAGTCATTTGTGGAGTGAACCAGTAGATAGAAGATTGGTTCTCTCTCTCCCTCTCTCCCTCTCTCCCTCTCTCCCCCTCCCTCCCCACTCTGTATTAAAAAATACATACATAAATAAAAATAACAACTTCCTGTTACCCCAGTCTCTCCAAATGGACCTAATGGCTTGACACAGCCTTGCACTCTGGATTATAATCTCCTGTCACTCACTCAGAAATGAATTCAATTCCTCTAAGAGCCTGACCTATAAAAACCTGTGTCAACAAGACTTATTTTCCTGTGACTTGTGGGAACCAGAAGTCTAAAGCACAAGCAAATTTTTCCATTGAGAGGCAAACAGAAACTGACAGAAGGGGCCTGATAAGAATCAGGTGAGCTTTAAGGCCTGGCCAGATATGATGCCCAGGCCTATATATCTCTTCATATGGGGTACCAGAAGAAACACCATAAGGAGGTGTGAACCTCTTTAGGGAAGGCACCCTGTTGACTTCCATTACCTAGCTGGCCTGGGAGGAGAGCTGGCCTGATTAGAAGAAATTTTCTCTGAAAGAAAATTTACAGTTCTGCCTGCAAAGTTACTAACCCTACTTGGCCGTCCCTTCAGCAGTGGTGGTTACTTTGGAGCTGGGCCAAATCTAGGGCTTCTCAGCTTAGAGCCAACAACGTCTGTTGTTCTGACCTGGGAGACTTTGACTCCAGGGCAGTTTTGTTTCCAGTGACAACTGTTGGCTGGAAGAGCTGCCAGGGCTCTCCAAAAGCTGACTCCTGAGTCCATGTGAAGCCCTGGCTCTCCACATCAAAAACCAATGCCATTTGCAGTGGGCTGACCGGGCAGATCACTGGATAAAGCAGCCATTAATCTGTGTGCCGCCAATTTCACATGCTACTGCTGCCCAGCCTGCTCCTCTTTCCTCCTGGTTTCTGGTAAAGGAGACCACGGAGGCAGCCATTAGGAGGATGCAAGTCAAGGGGGTGTTCAGTCCCCCCTTTGGTGGACTTTCTTTGGTGGACTGAGATAGGAATCTAGTCACAGACATGTTCTGATAGTAGTTTCTCCGTGAGGCGGACAGTACCCACGAGGAAAGCTATGTCCTCAAATTCTTAAAAATTTTTGGAAAGTATATTTTTCATTTTATACAAATAAGTCATACTATAAGCATATATACTCATATATGTAATTTTATCAATAAATTATGAAAAGCAGATGGGACTTAGTCTGTTCACGTTTAAGATAAATTACTTTTTCAGTATAAACATGCTTTCCAGAGAACTCTCTTTTCTCTTACACTTATCCAGTGATCCAGTGAAGTGAGTGACTTGAAATATCCTCCTCACTTTGCTGCCTCATGGCCTAACCTTTTGCTGAAATTCTTTTTCCCATATTAGTTACTTATTGAGTACATTTCCTATCATCACTTTAAAATTGGCTGAATCACAGTCACTATGTTATCATATCACAGAAACATTAAGCAAGTACCCACTCTCTCCCTTCTTGAATCATAAAGATAAGAACAAGGAATAGGACCTCAGGAGTGAAAGGTAAAAGAAAAAAAAAATCCCTACTTGCGAATGTCTATTATGATGAATAAGCGGTGTAAGAAGGGGCGGGTTATCTGGAAATGTTACGATTGAATTGAAAATTAGAGAAGAGCAGTCTGTGTGAAGGAGTTTTTCTCCTTTAGCTTGGCTTTGAATCTAACAGGGTTTGCTCTTGGGAGAGCAGCGGACATAGTGTGAATGATAACACATTTTACAAATACTTGAATCTAGTCTCTTTCCTTCCTATTCTACCCTGGGACTTCAGTTGGTGGACTGCTGCCAGCAACAGCACCTACTCAACTAAATTGGAACTGTAGGAGTCGCTCTGGGATATTCCTTCTTCCTAATCTCCCACGTCTTACAATCAACAATTTCTGCCAGTTCTCTCCCAAATTTTCCTCAAAGCTTTTCTCTCCATATTTTCTATCAAACTGCTTAAAACATTTATCTTCTGTCTCCTGGAGCATTTTCTCTTAGCCGAGTTATCCATAGAAATAAACTTCACTCTGTTGTTACAGTGATCTGAACACATTAACCATTTTACTTCCTTGCATGAAGCCTTTTAATAGTCCCTCACTGGATAAAATGCACCTTAAAATGTAATTTATGACTCTTTGTGAACTGCTTCTATTTGACATCTATCACCATTTCTCCTCAATCCATTATTAAAACTTCATAAATGTTAAAAGACTTGCAATTCCTCCAACTATCCTACCCTTTCATTCTTACATGCCATTTCCCATGTTACCTCTTATACCCAGGGCACTTTTCTGATGCCATTATCTTACTTTATCTAATTATATTATACAACTAAGTTTTAGTGCTTTATTCTGCAGAAAGTGTTATTTTATAGTCGTGGCTGGCAAAAGTACCATGACCACCCCGACCTGCTTTTGGAATACTGGTCCTCATTGTACTTCCTGTATTATAAGTACCAAATCACTTTGAAACTATCTACACAAATACGTAGGTTTTACACAGTGTAGTATGTGTTTTGAGGTCAGACAGTGGTTTCAGTGTTTTGCATCAGCACAATTCCTGGCACATAAACACTCAGTAAACCATTATATTGAACTGAACTAAATCTAACAAAACTGAAAGTACATCCTTCTGGGTTCTGTGTCCCTCTAAATGCAAAATAAATAACTGGGGAGAGAAAGGCCTTGGAAAGGTCATGGGGATTTACTTTGTGACTACAGCTGACCGTTAGTGGAAAGTGGACCATATTCTCTCAGTGTGCAAAGGGGAAATTCAGACATCTGTTCTGCTGTTTTGGGGACAGCTGTATTGTTTTGCATGCCTAGAATGTATCAACTATTTTCCACATGTTACTGAATTTTCTTTATTTTTAATGTTTTGTTATTGTAAATACTATATTAAAATGAGATATTCAAAATAGTGCCTACAGAACTATTATTTCACCATTTTCTTTTTTATAACTTTGTATTAATATAGACAAGGATATTTAATGTATTTCATAGATACAATTCTAATAATAGAGTGATACTTTCCTCCCAACATCCTTCTTGCCACCTTCCTTTCTTTTTTTAATTTTTGCAGTAATATATTTTCAGTTTTCTTTATTACCATAGGTTTAATGCTCCACTTGTTAAAGAATTCACCAAGTAAAAAGTAGAGAGATCGCTGTTCCACAGGAATATAAATAAGGGCTGTAAATGATAGTCAAATCACAAGATGATAATTTCACTTGTATATATTAACTACCACAAATCAATGAAAATGTATGATATTTGTCTTTTGGGTTCTGGCTTATTTCACTAAGTATAATGGTCTCCAACTACATCCATTTTGTTTCAAAAGACAAGATTTCATTCTTTTTTATGGCTGAGTAGTATTCCATCATGTATATATACCACATTTTCTATAGCTGGTCATCAGTTGATAAATATCTGGGTTGATTACATATCTTAGCTACTGTGAATTGAGTTGCTATAAGCATGGGGGTATAGGTAACCCTTTCATATGTTCTTTTCATTTCCCTTGATAGATCTGTTTTCAGATTTCTGAGCAATCTCGATTCTGTCTTACATGGTGGTTGGACCAGTTTATATTCCTATCAACAGTGAATTAGGGTACCTTTTTCTCCACCATTTTCTATGTTTTAATTTATCTTCTTATCTTTCAATATTTGTTCTGTATTTTCCACTAAAAATATTAAACTCTATAGTTTCCTCATATTTCTCACCCTATTATACTCACATGAGGACAATTGAATTCTAAGACTTTCATTCAGATTCCATAAGCTGTTGTATCAGTATTTGCTTTAGATTCCTGTTTGCCAGATAATCTATCCTCACTCTTTCCAGTTTTTTGATGATGATGTAAATGAAAACAGGTTATTATCGTAAGAAAAAAAAACCAGAGTGATTTGTAACAAAGTTTCTAGCTTTTTAAAAACAGGTTTTGATTTCTTTATAGGTCCAGATTCATGGAATTATAATTATTGTTAACATATTAATTGCAAGCTTAGACTTTAAGATCTCTTTTTAGATCCACAAGTAAGGATTATATTATGCCGATGTGAGATTGTATGTTTTATGAATGTTTAAATATGGACAGGATTCTAACAAAATCATGTGTCCAGATTGTCCATGGGTTGATTATCCATGGGTTGATTGTTCATGGTGTCCAGATTGATTTCCTAAAGATGAGGATCAATAGGTTTTCCCACCCTTACTCTTGTTTTAGAGACTGTACTATGTTGGCCCTTGGTAGGTAAAATTTGTTTAAGAGATTTATGCAACATACCAGCTTAGGCTGGATTACCCTGCTCAGATCTTTTCATCATTACCAATACTAACATCTTTGGACTGATTGTGGCAGTATGGTATAGATTAAGTACGTGGACTATAGGAAGAAAAGACTAAAATATATACCTATCTTGACAAGGTGTTTGATCTCTGTAAGACTCAAGTTTTCTCATCTGTTAATTAAGGGGAACTTATAATACCTACATCACAGAATTATTGTGAAAATTAAATAGGAATCATGGTGGCTTTAGAACCAGACTTTCTGGATTAAAATACTAATTCCACATCTGCGTAACTGGGGTTGTACTTAACATTTCTATGGCCATGTGATTTAGTTGTAAAACACAAATAATGGTGCACCTTTTGGGGATGTTGTGAAGAATAAATGAGTTCATTGCATAATGCACTTAGAATGGGACCTGGCACATAGTGAGCACAAATTATTGTTTGCTAAATAAAATAAAGGAAAAATGTTTTGGTATCCTTAGGAATTCAACAATAGTGGTAATTATTACTACCTTTAATACTGATGCTAAGCTGTCTTTTAATTGAAACACAAATTTATTGAGATTATTTAGCACAAAGAAATATGATTAAAATTAAAGCAGTCAGTTAAGCAGCCTCTGAGTACGTACTAAGTGTGACATGAGTAGATGAAAACTATACAGTTCATCTTAAATACAAAGAATGGATCCTAGAATACATATTTTGACAATTTTCTTTCTCAGAGCCTCCTTTACATCCCTGTTCCTCAGACTATAAATGAGGGGGTTCAACATGGGGATCACCACCGTGTAGAACACAGACATCACCTTGTTCTGGTCAAGTGAGTAGCTGGACTTGGGCATCACGTAAATGAAGGTAATCGTCCCATAGTAGAGAGTGACTGCAGTGAGGTGAGAGGTGCAGGTAGAGAAAGCTTTGTGGTGCCCCTCTGTGGAGTGCATCTTCAAGATGGTGATGAGGATGCAGATGTAGGAGACAGCTATGACAAACACTGTGACCACGATGATGGAGCCAGAAGAGATGGAAGGGATAATTTCAGTAATGGAGACATCTGAGCAGGAAAGTTTCAACAAAGGGGAGAAATCACAAAAAAAGTGATCTATCTGATTCGGTCCACAGAAGGAAACGCTCAATAAAGAACTAGTAAACGTGGAAGCATTCACACAGCCACCCAGATAGGAGGCCGCCACGAAGACAGTGCAGACTCCAGGGGCCATGTGGGTGGAGTAGAGCAGGGGTGAGCAGATGGCCACGTAACGATCATAGGCCATGGCAGCCAGCAGGAAGCACTCAGCTGTCCCAAACATCACCACAGAATAGAGCTGGGCTTCACAGCCAATGACAGGAAGAACTATTCCATGACCAAGGAATCCCATAAGCATTATAGGTGTGACTGATGTGGTAATTCCAATGTCCACAAAAGCCAAATGGCTGAGGAAGAGGTACATGGGGGTGTGAAGGTGGGAGCAGCTTCTTATTAAAGTGATTATGCTGACATTGCCTACTAAAGTGACAACATAGATTCCTAGAAACATCACAAAGAAGATGACACAAAGTGTAGGGTCCTCTGTCAACCCCACAAGGATGAATTCTGTCACAGTGCTGTGGTTTCCAACCTCCATCTCCTCTGTGACTTGTTCCTGTTGAGGGAGATTCAAATATTTTTTAATAAGTTCATTACACACATTCCTAGTTTCTGTTTGTTATTTCTGACATTTATTTACTGTGACTGTGACTTCATCTTCTGCCCAATCTGTAAAGAAAGATGGTTTATAGGATTGAGGCTTCTTTTCTTGTGGTTGCTCATTCCTGTTTGTATAAAATGTAAATTGTTCAAACTCAGTCTCTGGGACCTCAGTTAAGTATTTTTCATCTCTAATATTTATGTATAAATTCATTTGAAACCATGACTCCTGGGTGAATCTCTGCGCTAAGGTCTAGATCTATAGTTTCAGTTACATATCAGGACCCTCCTTTTGGAAATTCCACCAGCGCCTCATTCATATCAACCTCATCCTATTCCTTGACAACTACTCTTACATTTTGTATCTGGGAAATGACACCACCATCCACCTAGTCTCTCCTGTCTGCAACATGGTATTACTCTTAGCCTTCTTCCTCTAATCATACCGCATCTAATAAAATTTTATTGATTCTGTCATCAATTGAGCTCCCAGTATTGTGTCTTTATCACTTGTTTCCATTTGCTACATGATCCAGCAACACTACACCTAGGTATTAATCCTGAAGAAATGAAGACTTATATTTACTTAAATGCCTATACATTAATGTCTATAGCACCTCTATTCATAATTGCCACATACTTTAGGAATTGCAAATATCATCCAACAAGTATACTGATAAACACACTACTATATCCATGCAATAGGATACTACTTAGCAAAAAAGGAAAAATATCATTTGGATAAATTTCCAAGTCACGTCAAATGAAAGAAACCATTCTCAAAAGATTACACACTATCTGATTCAATTAATATGATATTCTTGAAAAAATATATTTGTGGAGACAGATAAGTGTTTTTCAGAAGTTTGAAGTGGACAGAGATGAATTCTAAAGGGTTAGATCAAAGGATTTTGGTAGTTTGTGTATCTCTTATGTATCCTGATTGCATTGATGATTATACACAAGTCTGAAAGTGAGTTAAAATGCTTGGAGATATTTACCAAACCATGATATTTGCTGTATGTTACTTTTAACATAAAAAGGAGGGCTAATATTCCTACAAATTAGATCAAGCACCAGAAGGATAGTATCCAAAATATGATGGATTAAAGAGAATAATCCCATTACCAGTTGTTTTAAAGCAATAATTTTTAAAAAGTATACTCTTTTCCAAAGAAGGATATGCTCATGATTTGCAATAATGAAAATACTAAACTTAAGTTTTCCCTACTGGTCTTTGCTTTCTTGAATTCCTGCATGTATTTCCATTAAAGAGTTTAGTAATTTGGTGTTTTTATGACATTTTGCTGTGACAAATCTCTTATGTTTGGAGGCAGTCTTTCAAAAGCAGAATTGATAACTGATAAGAGAAGATGACAATTTCAGGGCATGCTGAAGATTCAGTGAAAAGTAGAATATAAAGTTATAAGAATGAGAAAATAGACTTGTGAAAAATTTTAAGCATTTCTGCCAAATATAAAATAAAAAAACTGGGGGCTGGTGCTGTGGTATAGCAGGTTGAGCTGTCACCTACAGCACCAGCAACCCATATGGGCACTGGTTTGTGTCCCAACTGCTTCAGCTCCCATCCAGATCCCTCTACTGCTCCTGGGAAAGCAGCAGAATATGGCCCAAGTGCTTGGACCCCTGCAGCCACATGGGAGACCCAGATAAGGCCCCTGGCTCCTGGCTTCTGTCTGGCCCAGTCCTGGCCATTGCAGGCATTTGGGGAGTGAGCCAGCAGTTAGAAGACTTCTTTCCCTCTACCTCTATCCCTCTGTGTAATTTAACCTTTCAAATAAATAAATAAATTGTTAATAATAATAATAATAATAAATTTAAACTGGGATTTATTTCAGACCTAAAAATTTCACTTGTACACCTTTTTCATTCCATTAACTTCAGCTAAATAACATCTCTTTAAGTAATTGCTATTGATTTACAATTTTTTGCATGCTTTTTTTTTAATATTTCCACATTATTTAACTGAAAAGCCCATATAATCCATTTTGATTTCTCTTAATTTTCAGGTATATGTATGTAGAATTTATATACTTGTAATCCTATTGAATGTTCTATTTTGTAATTGACATTTTTACTTAGTATTATCTGTAAAATATTACATGTTTTTAAGTAATCTTCATAACCAAAATACATCAAACTCAGGATGATATTTATGGAACTCCAGAGTCCATCTTCAACCACTTTTTTAAATGCTTCTCTCTACCTATACTTCCTTGCAAATTTTCTACTTTTTGAAAGTCCTGTGAACAGTCACTGAGGTTTACTATTCAATGCTATTGGTTCTACTTTTCACAGAAACACAATTTTCTGTGAACAATATTTTTGCTATTCCTAAGGTCTTGGATATTTACTGTAAATGACTAATAGCTGTAAATAGTGTCTTAAAATGTCTGAATTTTTTTTAAAAAATTCTAAATTTACTTCAGAACAGGTGGGCATTTAGTTTTTCCAATGATGAGACCTAGAGTTATTTGAGTGAATTGTGAGGCATGATGAATCAATAGTTAAGAACCTGCAACTCATTAAAAATGTATTCTCTTCTTTGAGTGATCTTCATTGGGTGTGCTTAAATTACCCAAATGGCAGACAGCTTACTGCCTTTGCTGTTAACGCTATCATTTTAAAAATGTATTAATTTATTTCAAAGAGTTACAGAGAGAGGCAGAGGGAGACAGATCCTCACCTGCTGGTTCACTCCACAAAAGGCTGCAATGTCCGGGCCTGGGCCAGGCCAAAGCCAGGAGTCAGGAACTTCATCCAGGTCTCCCACGTGAGTGTCAGGGGCCCAAACACATGGATCATCCTCCGCTGCTTTTCCCAGGCCTTTAGTAGGGAGCTGGATTGGAAGTGGAGCAGCCAGAAATCAAACCAGTGCCCATATGGGATCATGGTGTCACAGATGGTGACTTTACGTACCACACTGCAACACCGGGCCCTAGCTCTATCATTGAAAAAAATGATATTTAGGGGTGGGTCTCTGGCAAACCAAGTTAAGCCACCACTTGGGATACCAATGCCCTGTAATGGTATGTCTTTTTCAAGGCTTGGCTACTGTACATTTCCTATCTAGCTCCCTGCTAATATGCCTGGGAGGTAGTGGATGGTCCCCAACTGCTTGGGTTCCACTTGGGAGACCAGGATGAAGATCCTGGCTTCTGATTTCAGCCTGTCCTGGCCCTGGCTTTTGTGAGCTTGTGGGGGGTGAACCAGCAGGTAGAACATCTCTTTCTCTCTCTTTTTTTCTCTATCACTCTGCCTTTAAAATGAGTAAATCTTTTGAAAACATGGCTGATGATCTTATCAGTTGTTCCCATGTGTGTTTAATGGTACAATGCGTATACTTTCTATATAAAATTGCTGAAATATTTTAATACAGCGACCACACATCCATTGACTTCACTTTTCTTAAATCAAGCATCCATGGTTCCTTTGGCTGTCTCGCCTGTAGCATACTTTTTACCTTCCCCTCCATGCTCTTTGTCAGCATCTAAAAATACTCTGAGGAATAAGGCCAAACCCTGAGCAGCATAAGTGCATTTTTACTACTGGACTCAAGCAGATGTCAGTGGGGGCAACATTGCTTTCATTTCTGAGCCTCAATCTGTGATGGCAGCAGTCATGGAGACTGGAGTCAGCAATCGTACTTCTCCCTTTGACCATCTGTATTAGGATGCATAAATCTCTGACTCATCATTTGCATTAGTAAAATGAGATTATTTTCCCCTATAGTGAAGCTTTGTTTGAAATTAAAAGAAATATCTATAAAGTCCCCAGAGGTATTTGGTCATGTGTGAGGGTTTAGTAACTAATTTTCACTAAATAAAAATGAAGTATTCATATAGTTTCAATTACTCATTTTTTATAAGAAGTATAATTGTCCTTTAATACATGTCAGGAGATTTTCACGAATTCCAAAATAAAGCAAGAAGTGCAGCATCTAATCGCTTCTTGGTTCTAGACTATGCCATTCATATATATATATATATATGTATGTACATATATATATATAAAACATATGTATGTGTGTGTGTATATATATATACCAACTGATACTTGTCCTTCCCTTCCTCTCCTCTGTTCACCTACAGTCTGTTCTAGAGTTCTCCATTTTGACATAACTTTTATGCTTGTCCACCCACATCAGGCACTTTGACATTTAAATGTCCTTTCTCTCAATGCATTGTTCATCTTTGATGATGAATGACAGTCTGAGTTTCATCCAACACAATATCAGGTTGTTTCTTTCTGATTTCCTTTTCATATTTTCATTAGCATAAGCTTATTAATGGCTTTGGCTGCTGCAGACTAACTGTCCCAAGGAATGAAGGGCAGGCTGCTTTGTGTGTTCTCTGTGTAACTATTCCATGATCCATGTTTGTGGAAACCTCACAATTTCTATCAGAATCATAGCTAAGGTTGGGGGTAGTTCTTTTATTTTAATAAAATTGAATGTTGAATATAACACTCACCTTCAGAGCCAAAATTATTGAATCTGAATTCCAAAAATAACTTCAGAAAGCAAGGTTTTCCGCTTAGTTTTATGGGTGGTGAAGGGGTGAAGACTTACAATATGAAATGTTGACGTCCCACCTTGGATAAAGAATGCAGTTACATCGTACATGCTGGGAGGATAGAGGTGGATGTCTTTGTATGTCTGGCAGGAAATAAAGGAAACCTCTAATAGAGTGTAGCAAAGCCCCTAGGGCTATTGTTGCTTGCCCCCTTTGAGAGAAAGGTCCTTGGGTTGTACAGAAATAACATAGGGAGCCAGGTGACTAATTAAAATCTTGGCTGGCCCTCCCCAAAGGGGCATCAATATGCCAGGGTATACTTTATATTATGTCTTTTTTTTTTTTTTTTTTTGACAGGCAGAGTGGACAGTGAGAGAGAGACAAAGAGAGAAAGGTCTTCCTTTTGCTGCTGGTTCACCCTCCAATGTCCGCCGCGGCCAGCGCACTGCAGCCAGTGTACGGCGCTGATCCGATGGCAGGAGCCAGGTACTTATCCTGGTCTCCCATGGGGTGCAGGGCCCAAGCACTTGGGCTATCCTCCACTGCACTCCCTGGCCACAGCAGAGAGCTGGCCTGGAAGAGGGGCAACCGGGACAGAATCCGGCGCCCCGACCAGGACCAGAACCCGGTGTGCTGGCGCCGCAAGGTGGAGGATTAGCCTAGTGAGCCGCAGCGCCGGCTATATTATGTCTTGTTCCCCCTGTCTCATGACATTTATATTATGTCTTGTTCCCCCTGTCTCATGTGAAGGAGAGAGTTTTTGGTTTCCCAGAAGCCTACCCTATGTTTAGAACAATTATCTGCTAAAATGGGGTCAGTGTGATGATGTAAGAGTGTTTTTCAATTGAAATAACCTTTGAACTAAATTGAAAAGGAGTTAAAGGAAGGAATAGAAATGAAGAAATTTGTTACTGAGTTGATGGCCATTTAACTGCAGGGCAAAACCCCAAGATGATTCTTTTTGGAAGTCTGTATACTCAGACTTACGTATCTTATACTCAGCACCCCCAGAGGCAGCTTTACTGGCTGCGCCACAATGCTGGCCCCAAAAGAGTAATTTTTAATGTATATAACCTAATAAAAATGGGTTTCTTTTAGCAAATAAGGTTTTACCACCTTCCTAAAAGTTGCTGATCCATGGAGGCTTGGGCAAAAAATGATCCTTCATGTAAACAGTGGCCTTTGGAACCAAAAAACCTAGGTTCAGTTTGAGGTACACGTACTTAGTAAAATTGTTCACATTATTTGAGATGTAAGTTCATGATCAGTGGATAACTTTATTAACACTGAGTTAACAATTTCTATCTCATAAAACGGTCATAGGTTTTAAATAGGATAGCATGTATAAGATGTGGGAAAATTAACTGATGCTGTCTATTTGTCTTAAACATACATGACAGAAAGAATACAGTGCCTTATCAGTATTGACTGACAATTCACAGTTATCAGATTCAGGAGGGACCTTGTTAAATTTTACAAACTTTTCTGTTTGATCCTCAGTGCTAAACATAATCTTCTTTGAGATTTATGACATGCCAACTGTCGCTCCTCCGCGGGCTCGCGGGAGAACGACACCGGACCGGACGCTGTTGTTTAAGCGAATGACTCTGCGTTGTGCGCTCAAGTTTGCTCCTGTGCTAACCGCATTCTAACTGCATTCCACTTGGTGTGCTTCCGCATTCTTGTTATTCTTTCGGCGCGTGGTGTGAGATGTCTGCGGTGCCTCACCGCGCTTAAGCGAATCCCCACCGCGCTGCTTCTATCTCGCCTTTATAGTCCTCTCCCACCAATCCGTGCTCTGCTGCCCACGTGCTGAGCACGCTGTTCTCCTCCAATCAGAGGTTGGATCAGGAATCAGCTAATTGACGAAGCAGCTGTGTAAGATTTGTTTACTCCCTCTCAACGCCATATGGTGGGAGATCAGGCGCATAGAGTTAGTCTCAATAGTCTCAGTAGTCTATTCTAGTCTGGATAGTCTCAGTACTTATTTCGCCATGTTGCAGGAGACGGGCCCTGCTCCCCACAGGGCCCTGCTCCCCAAACCAACCATCACACTTCCTTCCTGCCCCATTGATCTTCCTGCCACTGCTCATTCACTGAGAACTTTTGTATTCACATCAGAAATTTCTTCTTTATAGCTGTTTTTGACGGCGATTTCAAAACCTAAAAAGCTCAACTAACAATGTAATCTCAAATTTGCTCTACTTTCTTAACTCCAAAACACTCTGTTCATCCATACTCTACATATGAAACCTATGATGTTCATACCATAAATTTCACCAATTGTCAATTGTATTCAATCA